TCTTTGCATGCACAGGCAACGCCTCAACGCACAGCCACAGTTCGCCAAGGTATAGCTGACATCAGTCTCCGGGCAGGAATTTGGAAGCAAGGTTAACAGCTCTCGTTTGTTCCGTCTTCTTCTCTTGACTATCGAAGCAAAATGTCCAACAAGACTTTCCTGTTCGTCCTATGTCTCGTAGCAGCCCTTGCGCTGTTTGCCGCTCCAGCGGATGCATTCGGTGCTGGCAACATTGCTTCTATATCCAAGATTGAAGGTCGTAACTGGCGTCACGGAGATATTGAAGATACACTCAAGACTGTCGCCTTTCTCAAGAAGCACAAAGTAAGCCTCCCACGGTGCCGACCTCTTCTAATGCTAATACCGAATAGTGGACATCTATGATGATCAAGGTACATCTACTTTACTGAATGTGCCATCGTGGTCAGCTTCACTAAGACAGACCATTAGCGTGTCTATTTTGGTAACTGGCTTCGTGACTATAGTCAAGCTGTTGATGTGGGCACCCTCAAGGGCGTTCAGTCCGGCACCATCAGGATCCTCATCTGGGTCCTGGCTTTCATGTCCTTTGGTTATGCAACTGGCGAATTTGAAGTTACAGAGGAACGTCTTGGTTGTTACAGACCTGAGGAGCACATCGACAACCCCAAGGACTATGCCGACAACGAGGATGCCCGCAAGTACGATACAAGACTTCGCGGTCCTGTTCAGCAGGATGAACTTGCCATCGATCCAAACACTGGTATGAAGAATTATATCGCCAATGAGGCTGGTGGGTGGTCCACTTCTGCTGGCTATATTAGATACAGCTTCGCTCGTGCCATTCATTATGGCCGCACCTATACCCACGGCAGCAACAAGGGGCGGGAAGAAGACCTTTGTGAGGCTCTGCGTTGTTTGGGTCAAGGATTGCACTGCCTGGAGGATTTTGGTGCACACACTAACTACACAGAGCTTGCTCTACGAGAGCTTGGCCACAGGAATGTTTTTCCACATGTAGGAGCTGCCACCGCTATCGATCTTCATGGAAAGCAGGTCTTTCCTCTTGTTACCGGAACCTTTGGTGGAGTTGATTTCTTACATTCTGTCCTGGGTGAAGCAACTGATCACGTCACCCAAAGCGAGGTCGACGAGATGCAGAACGCTCTCAACGATGCCAGTACCGAGGGAAAGAGATCTGCTGGTGGTCCAGAAAGTGAAGTCTCGGGCCTTACTAGCTTGCTCGCCAAGGTGCCTGGTACGGGAAGTCTAATCCAAGAAGCCATCAGCCTTCAAGCATCTTCTGACCAGCAGGCGAGCGAAAATGCCAGCGGCACTCGTTCTTTCGATGATCAATCTGGATACTCCCAAGACCGCGCATGGAACCCAGCAGCAGGCAACTACACTGATCCCGAAAGCATCATCAAGAAGATCTACCCCATCTTGCAATTTAGAGACAAGGTCGTCCGAGCAATCAATGGCATCATCTCGAAGATTCCTGGTCTCGAAGATTTCATCGAGAAGATTACCGAAAAGGTCACACTCTTCGTTATGGGCCTGCTGGCTCCCTTCATCACTCCGCTGATCGCTGCTGCTTCCAATTCGCTCAAGCAGGGAAGCTCAACTGTTGTTGACGCGAGTGCCAACCACCAATACGAAGTGTGGACTGACGCCTACTCTTCTGATCCCACACACTCTTTGCTTTCCAAGGATCACTTCTCCAACATCTTGAACGAGCCGGCAGGTGAAGTTGCGGTCGCCATCGTTCAATACGTCGCTCCCCGCATTATCTACGCTTGGGATCATCCCGACGTCAATGAGCAGCAGGTTCTGGATGATGTGCTTCGAGTCTTCCACCATCCCGCCATTCGCGATCATCATTGCGAGATTCACAAAACCATGTTTAGCGTTGTGGAAAATTGGGCTCGCTCATACCGAGGCAACCTCGACGAGGTCCTGAGCTCAGAGAGCGTCAAGGCAGGCCGAAACCACACCGGTGGTGTGAATCCTCACCTTGGAGGTGGACATGCTGCTCACGGACCATCGAACATGGATGCATTCAGTTTGGGTGGTGGACAGCAGCAAGGCGGGTTGGGTCAGAGAGGAGATGTTGACCCATATCCCGCACCTCACTCGCATACAGCCACGCCAGCACAAGCATCTTCCGCTTACGATGCTCCGAGTCAAGGCTACCAACCACATTCTGGATCTTCTTCTGTACAAGACTATAGTCACGGATACGAGCAGCGCTACGCACAGCAACAGCCTGCCCCACAGGCCACTGCTAGCTTTGCACCAAACGACCCTTACGCCTATCCCACTGCTTTCCAACAGGGCTACGAGATTCCTTATCAACAGCAGCAGGGACAGTATGAACAGCCACCTCAAGGCCCTTCCCACCAACACAGCTGGGGACCTCCTCCTCCCGGACCTCCATCGGGACAAGGATGGGGACAGCCTCCGCAGCAGTACGATGAGTATGGTCGACCCTTACCACCCCCTGGAGGCTACTACCAGAACTCTGGATACTGAAGTTGAGACGAGGAGCTGCGGCTGAGCTCTGTACGGGAAGCCTAGAAGTTTTGTCCAGAATGGGACGTACTCTTGAACTTGAAAGTGACCTGAAGGCGCGACGAAGCCATGCAAGCATACATTCCCATGATACTTGTTAGCGTTAAATAATCTCTCCAATTCGTGTCTTTTCCAGAGCAGAAATATGTGCACCACAAGTCATGGCCATCCAAAGGTCAAGCTTTCTGCTTCAACTACATTCTACTGTGTCAGGAACCACTGCCATCCTCGAATCTGCCCTTGCCTTTGCATTCAACACCATAAGAGCTGATCCACGCATAACATCGTCTCATCGACCAACGACATGAGCTGCCGCAACTCCTCTCAGGGACATTACACACACCTAAACTGCCCATCCATGTAAACGAGGATTGAAAAACAGTATGTATGGACAGTGCAGCCAACCATTCAACATACCTAAAGTATCGCACGTACATTTGCATCCATGACACGAGAAAGTGCACAGGGTCGCTCACCTACCAATCCAGACCGCGCGCGTGATCTGTTCAAGGTGTAAAAGTGACGACTTACACACCTGTATATAAATTACGTCTGATAATATCACGAAGAGGGGCAGTTACAGAGAGTCGTCCGTCTGTGCGAGTCGTCCAATGGCGCCATTCGGTTGTAGTCCTCGGAAGGCAGGAACAAATGGGCGAGTGGCACTTTGGCGACGGTTTTTCTTATACCAATTCGTCGCCAATTCCATAGCTCCTTGCACCCATCTCAAAAAGTCTTGACACGGCCCGCCCGACTGCAAATCGCACGTCGGTCTCGCCAGCACCGCCATTAGCCAGGGACGCACTTTGCAACCCAGTAGCACTCCATTCCGTCTCCCCAATGAACGTGCTCATCATGCTCGAGCTACTGCCTCCCTCTTTCCTCACACTCATGTCCTCCAACCTCTTCTGGATGCCCTCCTTGGGCGGCGGCACGATATTCGCAAACACCTCGAACAGTGGGACCGCCGAAAGACAAACGACTCTCGTCTTGGACTCGTACGCCAAATCAATCAGAGTGATGAAGCGCCGCACAAAGTCCAACTCATCGGCCTTGAACTTGTGCAATCCAGAAATATAAATTATGCCCGCCGCCCTGCACAAAGCGTGATAATCCGACGTGCCCCGATAAGCCTGACACAAATGCTCGAAAGTAGCATGGACAACCAACTTCCCACTCTTGCCCACCCTCGCACCCTCCACATTGAGCACCCTATTCATCATGACAGGAATCTCCTGCGGCACCAACCGCGCAGCCTGACTCACCTCCTCCAAACTCTCACTAAACTCCGCTGCATCCGAGAAAAACACAGTCTGCCGCGATTTCTCCTCATCATCAGTAACCATCCTATAATCCAAATCCCCCTGCATCTCCCAAACCTCACACCTACGCTGCAACTCATCAATGAACGGCAAGAACAAACTCCGATTCAACCCCTTCTCATAAAGGTTATTAGGATGCCGATTCGACGTCGCAACCATGACACCCCCGCACCCCCAAATCGCACCGAAAAGTCGTTTCAGAATCATCGCGTCGGCTATATCCGTCACCTGGAACTCGTCGAAACACAGTACCCGACTCTCGGCGCTGACTTGGCGCCCGATCGCCACCAAAGGGTCGCCTGAATAGGTGGGCGAGGAGCGCGCGTGGTGCAATCGCATGTGGATGTCCATCATGAATTCGTGGAAGTGGATCCGTCGCGAGCTTATGTCGGGGGAGAGGGTGCTGGCGAAGAGGTCGGCGATGCGGGATTTGCCTGTCCCCACGTTGCCGTAGATGTAGACGCCTTTGCCTTTTTGATGGGGCGCCGTCGAGTATGCGGGTGCGAGTCCTTGTCGTTGTGCTGCCTTGGTTCCTGGGTTTTGGGTCCGTGTCATCAGACTCGTTTGTAGATTCGCTAGTCGCTGGACCAATGCCGCTTGTGCTGGGTTTGGCACCAGTCGTCCTCGCGTTAGGAGTGTTTGGTAAGCGTTGTGTATGCTTGACATTTTTTATCTTCCCTTTTTTCTATTCAAATTACCACGATGTCATGTGGTTGGTTGGTCAATTGGATGGTGGAAGGGGAGGGCGGTGGGCGGCTTGTGGAAAGTGAATGGTTATTATTGTATGACCAAAGGTCGGATAGTATTTGGTATAACCGAGCGTTCGTTGGTGTGTGCTGTAGTAAGGTAGCTCAGTGCAGAAAGTCATTACGTCACTGATTTATGGTTCAAACTTCGTCTTCTGTACGACATGAACCTCGACGACTTGACTTTAGCGAAGATTGATGGGGCCAAGGCCAAGCGACGACAAACCAAGGCGGGGAGGTCAAATACAGCTCGACGTACGAACGAACTGGATGGACAGACACATTTACACGTCGCAAACCTACTCAATAATTGCGCCAGTCATCGGTGGGCAAGAATGAGCAGAGGTACTTAGACCGCCGATAGAACTAAGATTTCATCATTGGCCGCGTGGCCCAATGGCAAGGCGCTTGACTACGATTCAATCATCATGATTGAGCGGTATCAAGAGATTCCAGGTTCGACCCCTGGCGTGGTCAGATTTTTTGCTCTCATTTCCGAAGAGTCTGCGCTGTATCTTTGCGCTTGTGAGCTTCTCTTGTTTGGTGGGGTAATAAAGGTCCGATGTTTCGCCGATGAAGTCGTCGTATCCAGGAGGATTTGTTGGTGGAGAGACCATGGGGTAAATCCGGAAAGGTCGGCTCAGTTATGCGATATTGTTGGAGTTATATGGTTGTGTCTCGATAACGATCTTCATACATCTTGTTTGGTTGGACGCTAGACTCCCCTAATACCACCTCATAGATTGCTGCATATGACGTCGAGGCGGTAGGGAGGCTATGTTGAATGCAACCTGCCGGTAATGAGGAGTAGCCGCGTCCTCAGATCATCAAGATCGTCATACAATTATTCGGGCCCGACTCTCGGTCGTACTATTGTGCATCTAAATGTTAAGAACCTTCGTAACACTCACCGCTGTCGCCATTTGACCTGACTCAGTACCAAATACTTCTAGTCCTATGATGCGAGATCGCTGGCTCACCCGCCTTCTCCCTCTCCTTGGCCTGCGATAAAGTTAGCAGAGTCAGAAGGAAAAGATATGAATAGAAATGCACGTACTAGATCGTAAAGGAAGAAATCTATCAGTATGGCGTTGATGGTGGCGTCGGGATGCTCAGCCAACATCTCCCGTTTGATTAGTTCGACACACCAGATGCTGCAGCCGCGGAGTTGCACCTCCCAACTGCTGCCAGGTTGGATGGATTGCTGTGATTTGATTGCAGCATCGAGAGGTGGGCTGTAAGATATGCATGAGAGTGTGTGGAGGATTTGTGGCACACGGTAATCTGTGTGACATCAGCCACCAAAGGAAACGCCTCTTATAGCAGTGATTCCAAGACGCACCAGCAAACATGGTAATGTTATCAATGTCGTCGAACTGCCCGTAACTCTCGCCATTGAAAGCGGCCCATGTGTCGGCTACAAGAATCTGAGGTCGTTTCATGATTCGAACAGTCCGGCGCTCAAACTTTGCGCAGTCATTGAAGCTTGGAAAGTGATGGGCTAGCAGATTGACTAGTTTGCCCGCGCTGTGGTTGGCAGTCTCAATGAGCTTAGCTACGCTGCCATCAAAGTGCTACCGGCATTGTCAGATGTATTTCCGAGACAGAGACGGGATGTCTCGAAGACCTACTTCTTCTAGAACTTGACCTGCTTCTCGCAAGCAGGCGATGCGCTCTGTCAAGAGTGGAATTGATTCCTCTGTTGAAGAACGAAATACATGTTCAAGCTTCTCGTCAGGACACTCTTCCTCATCTGCATAAAAAGAAGGCGTAGTGATAGGGATTTCTGTGTGCACGTGAGAATGTTGAATTCAGAAAGGCACGACCTCATTGGTCTAAATGGAGGATTGTAGATAGGAGCGAGTGAGTGTTTGTACAAAGAGAGATTTGCCCAGCTTACCCTCCTCAAGTGCACGTTGCAAGCATGCGACAAGACTCCAGTATCCAGTCCATCGTTTATCATGATATTCCACGGCGAACCTCTCTTCTTCACTCTTCTCACTCCAGAAGCTAAAATTTAACAAGTCCATGACAAAAATGAAGTTCAATGTTGCCTCATCCTTGGCCTTGGGGTGAAGCTCGTGCTCAGACCAAGTTTGGGTGCTGTAGCTTCGTAGTTGCATTTGTTCCCATATCGTGGCAGCTGCTGACTTGGTACCTTGCATGCTGATAGCGACATCAATGCTGTTGTCGAAAATGTACTTTGCATCTTGAGGGACATTTGTATCCGAGGTAATCTCGTTGGATGGACGAGAAATGCCTAGAGATTTCCTCAACAGCTCAAGTAACTCTGGATCGACTTCATCATCAGACATGCTGCTGACACGAAGAAGTCGTTATGCTCCTGATACTGCGAAATGCTAGACGATGTGCCGGCGCTGTCTTTCTCGGCAGATAGGATCGTGAGCGCGACTGTGGTCGGTTCTGGATGGCTGCCGAATAAGGGTCGATATTCTAGCATGCAAAGCGTGGCAACAATCACCTTACCCAGGCTCCCGACAAAGAATGCCGGGTTACACAGTGAATGACACGAGTGAGAGGCTTAGTTAGAGCAAGCAAAGCAATGGAAGCGAAGCGGTTCGGCAGGGGTCAAAGCAGGCGGAAGGCGGCCAGCGGCCAGCGGCCACGAGGTGGATGCATATCTTGGCGCTTCCGTGGGCGTCGGATCAGCACAAAGCAAGCATTAGTGGTTTCTAGCGTCAAAGCCAAAATAAAGTAACGGCAAGTCGCGCGGCGTCATCGTATCGCATTGCGCAAGGAGCGTGGAGAAAGTGAAGCAACAGAGGTCGGCTAAGGTATAACACAGAGCATTACTTTGACATCTTCAAATCCCTTCGCTCCTTGTAACACTCACCTGTCGGATTTGCACGTGCGCTGACTCTGCAGGTGTTGATGCCGCGAATTCAACATTAACAATTTCAACTCAATCGATCTTCATCACAATGCCTCGCGACAGGTTCCTGAAGCAGTCGCTGGGCTCGCTGTACAGTAACATTCAGAAGGTACCTTACAATACGATGCGCAATGACCACAGCGGGCCGCACGTCATCTTAACTGACCCTTGTCTAGTCGCGTATCCTCGTCGTCGGTGCTGGTGGAATCGGATGCGAATTACTCAAGAACGTTGTGTGTACCGGTTTTGGAGAGATCCACGTGGTAGACCTCGATACCATCGATCTTTCCAATCTCAACCGTCAATTCCTCTTCAGACAATCACACATCAAGAAGTCCAAGGCTATAGTATGCGGCATGTGTTGTTCTCAACAATCAGCATTACTGACTCCACTCAGGTAGCACAAGAGGCAGCCAGCCATTTCAATCCCAATGTACAGATAAAAGCCCATCACGCAAACATCAAAGATCCCCAATTCAACGTCGAATGGTTCAATACATTCGCCATTGTCTTCAACGCGCTCGACAACCTCGATGCTCGCCGCCATGTCAACAAGATGTGTCTTGCCGCCGATGTCCCACTGATCGAGAGTGGTACTACTGGTTTCAACGGACAAGTCCAGCCCATCTCGAAGGGAAAGACCGAATGCTACGACTGCCAGGTAAAAGAGACGCCAAAGAGCTTCCCTGTCTGTACCATTAGGAGCACACCCAGTCAGCCTATACATTGTATAGTCTGGGCAAAGAGCTATCTGTTCAGCGAGCTTTTCGGCATCAGTGAGGATGCTGCACCAGACCTGGATCATACAGAGGACGAGGACAATGCAGACGAGATTCAAAACCTTCGACAAGAAGCCGCTGCATTAAAAGAGATTCGCATGGCCATCGGTTCAGAAGAATTCCCCCGCAAGGTCTTTGAAAAGGTCTACGCTCAAGACATTGGGCGCTTAAGAAGTATGGAGGACATGTGGATGATGCGCAAACCACCGACTGCTCTGAACTTCGACCAATGGCTCCCCGAGGCTGCCAACGTGGCCTCGGATATATCCATGCAAGATCAGAAGACGTGGAGTCTGGCCGAGAACATAGCTGTATTCAGTGCTAGTCTCAATCGTCTCAGCAATCGCCTTGAGGAGCTCAAGGCAAATGCTGATACTGGCAATGCTCCACCAATCCTCACCTTTGACAAGGACGACAAGGACACGCTTGACTTTGTCGCATCCGCAGCTAACCTCAGGTCCATCGTGTTTGGTATCGAGACCAGGTCTGAATTTGATATCAAGCAAATGGCCGGCAACATCATCCCTGCAATCGCCACAACTAACGCGAATACCGCCGCGCTTTGCGTCTTGGAGGCTTTTAAGATCATGCAAAAGAACCTAAAAAAGGCAAAGATGGTCTTCCTGGTCAAGTCGACCGATCGCATGATCAGCAACGAGCCGCTGAGACCGCCAAAGCCTGACTGTGGCGTATGCGGAAACGCTCAGGCAAGTTTGATTGTGAATGCCGAAAAGGCAACTATAGAAGATATTGTGGATCGACTGCTGAAAGCGAAGCTGGGATACACTGATGAACTGAGCATCACTACAGATGAAGGTATCATCTACGACCCCGATATGGAAGAGAACCTGTCCAAGACTCTTTCTGAACTCGGCATCAAGGGTGATACTTTCATTACCGTTCGTGATGAAGAGGATGAGAACACCAAGGTCAACCTTGTTCTTGCAATCAGTGAAGCGTACGTTGTGACTTCCCTCCCTTTCCATTTCATGCCTCAAGCTGACACGTCCCAGATCAAATGCTGCACCTGACGATGCTCCCTTCACCCTGCGTCCGGAAATCTTCCAGATTCCGCTGAAGGCGAAGCCCGCCAACGGTACGACCTCTGACAATAAGCGTAAGGCCTCAGAGGCTGGACTCGATGATGAATTAAGAGCCAAGCGTGGTAAGGTAGCCGAGGAGCCAAACGGCAACGGCGTCAATGGCAATGTGAAGAACAACGACCCTATCGTCCTTGACGACGACGGAACCCTTGTTGTGGACGATGACTGAGCTGATGGCACAGTCCTGCCATCCGGCGGCTCAATCCCCCACTCATTCTGGACAGATTGGCGGCTGAGTCATCACCATCGCACTATCCTTCGGTTGAGATGTCTATCCATCATGGTCGCAGTGCGCACTTTGATGCACATCATCGGCAGAACCGCGTTTTGCCTGCAACTTCATGCGTAATATCACCTATTCGACTTGCCCCACACAAGCCCATTCATATCCTCACACAGCACTCAATCCTCCATCCAAGTTGATGATGCAGTTATTGGCGTAAGTACTGCTAGCTAAGAAGACTGCCGCCTCCGCAACCTCATCAACTGTTCCAAATCTCCCAGCAGGAATCTTTGCTAGCGCTTCTTCTCGCGCTTTGGCGGACATTGCTGCGGGCACACAATTCGTCAGCGGGTGCTCTTTTCTTTGTGTTTAATACTTCAAAGAAACATGGCTCTGGGGCGTTTTCGGCGGACACTGGACTGGTCAGAAGCGGGGAGCATCTTAGGCGTTGCATTTTTGGCGAAGGTACAAGAGAAGGA